ACCCTATCAGCTGTACCAATCGAATCTAACCTCTGTCATATTCCAAAATAAGTTGCGGTCACATGACGAGATACACTGAAGTCACGTGACGAGATGTGAGATAAACCGTGTTCAGCCCGTTCAGCAGACACGATTTTCACCACTAAGCGCTACGTATCACTCAACCGCTTTGCAACTGTTGGGATCTGCTGAACGCGCCCATTATCCATTATTAACACTTTTCGGGAAACTGTCGCCTAACCACACTATTTGCTTTACGTTTTCGTACTAATCATCATAAAACTAAAATCAAAATAGTGTTGGGAAAAATTGGATTATCATTGGATTGGGAAAATCATTGAATCAATATTGAGAGAGAGAGAGAGAGAGAGAGAGAGAGAGAGAGAGAGAAAGAAAGAGAGAAATCATAAAACAAGGTTAAATTAGATTACCGACTCCAATATTATTTTGTGAGTAAATTTTTATAAAAGATATGTGGGCAAAATATGGATAAACACACATGTGCTATCGTTACGAATGGTAATCATACGGATATCGTTTTAATAACGTATAGGTACAAAATAATGTTTACATACTTTTTTTTAAAAACAGCTCGTGATATGAGGTCCGTTCGTTTTCGAACTTCTACACTAGTTTAGAAGTTCTTCTGAAACAAACAGACTTATGTATCATATGTTATTATCTATTATTATCATATTGTATTTGTTTACTTATAGCAATCGAACACTGTTAATTGTAACGCAATTTAAAAAATTTGGGACATTTTTGACAATAAATCGTGAGCCATCTGTAAGAAATTCACTTTTGGATATTCACGACGTATATATGACAAAGTAAGTAATAATGTGCCACAATAATTTGGTGCTTAAAACATTGTTATTTGCCTCATTGAAATTTGCAGAACGCACTTTGGCACTGATTCCGATGAAGTTCACATAGCTGCCAACTACATAGCAGATCATATTGACATTAACAGATCATTCCTATTGTCAATAGCATTAAAGGATTATAGCATAGTGACTCTGAGAGATATTGCTAATGCTATAAAACAGATAAAACCGTGGTAGTGTAAAATTTACTGCAGCACCATGAGCTTAATTTTTGGTCAACTGGTTATTGGTCCACCTGGCAGTGGAAAAACAACATATTGCAATGCAATGTCCAAATTTTTGGAATCTATCGGCAGGAAAGTAGCTGTTATTAATATCGGTGAGTAATAAATTTATCCTAGTAATTTTTTTTTTCTTCTGACTAAATATGTATAATTATTATTTTGCAGATCCAGCAAATGAAAACATGGAGTATACTCCAACTGTAGATATTTCTGAGTTAATCAAACATGAAGAAGTCATGACACATTTTGGTCTTGGACCAAATGGGGCCTTAGTTTACTGTATGGAATTTCTAGAAACCAACGTACAATGGCTGATTACCAAAATTTTAAATTTAAAAGATCATTATCTCATTTTTGACTGTCCAGGCCAAGTGAGTTGTGACAATTACTATTTTAAGTTGTTTCTTACACACATAATCTCTGTATGATATGAATAAAGCCATAATATGCTTTATAAAACAACAGGTGGAATTATACACACATCACAAATCTGTGAGCCAGATAGCAGAAAAATTGAATCAGAATTTAGTAAGATTGTGTAGCGTACATCTTATAGATTCTCACCATTGCAGTGATCCTGGTAAGAATTAATACATGTATTTACTTTATCTATATTAAGCAAATATAATCATATAAGAAAATAATGACATAAAATTTCAAATATGCTTCTTTGTGTTTACTAAAGTGTTGATATAATTTACAGGAAAATATTTATCCTCCCTGGTTGTTTGTACAACAACAATGTTGCAGATAGGTTTACCTCATGTAAATGTTATGACAAAGTTCGACGAAGTGAAAAAATTCAGCGATTGCCTAGCATTTAATATAGATTTTTATACAGAAGTACTAGACTTAAACTATCTCTTGGAGAAATTGGACGAAGATCCCTTCACTGCAAAGTAAATTAGATATTTTGTATCTAAATATGAATCTTCCGTTAATTTATGAAATATTTTGCAAATAATGCGCATGATATTTTACAGATACAAGAAACTGAATGCAGCATTAGTGTCAATAATTGAAGATTATAGTCTTGTTAGTTTTATACCATTAGACGTTTCCAATAAAGCGCTGCTGTTGAAAGTGAAAAACGCTGTAGATAAAGCCAATGGATATATCTTCGGTGGTAACGAGCCGCAAAATGTTCAAATGCTACTCGCGGGGGCCGTCAGTGAAACCGAGAAGATGTCGACATTAGATACATATTTATGAAAACATTTTTTCCCAATTCTAATTAATTTCACATAACTCTAATACATACATTACATTTTTTCATTATATAAGAATAATTTGACGCAATCTTTATTATACTTATAAATAATAAATGCTGATGAGAACGTTCTTATCGCGCGTGCATCATTCAATCCAGTTGATTAACAAAAATCTGCGTTAAATCATCATATTCGTAAACTCTTTTCAGGAACGTGTCCGTAAGCTTCAGGCCGGAGACGGTCTGTAAAATATATCATTTATTAAACATTATTTTTCCAATGATACATGCAATGTCACATTCTTGCAAACAAGCTACTCACGATGATGCCTGTGTCCAGCGTGATTAAGCAAAGAGGTATGTCCATAGAAGCTCCAGGCTTCAGAGTGCCGATCGTCGTATCCGACATCCCACACCAAGCTATGGAATTATTCGACTCTAAGCTCAACAGCAGATCCATACTTCTTTCCCTGCAAGTAGGTGTGAAAGGACCATCACCAACGATCTTGCACACTTTCGAGTCGTAAGCTTATCGCAACTTACGAGGTATTTATTATGTGACATTTGCAATTAACTGGTTCCTCGAGATAGACTTTCAAGGGAATGTCTTTGACCGTGACTCTCAGATCTCCGTACTCAGGTGCCTACGTAAACAGTGCCGCGTTAATCAACACGTGTTAACGCAACCTCACTTGCGAATGAACGATTTGACGTACCATTCTTTGCAATTGACTCGTCTGCAACCTTCCTCTCTCTCCTAAATTACTCCGCCACACGATATCCAATTTCCCAATATTTGTGGCGTTCTGCATCATTTTGGGATCTTTCAGTAAACTCAGCTGTGGCTTTAAGCAATACAGATATTGTCTGCTACAGCCTGTATCCAGTAGATTCACTCTTCCATAGATAGATTCTTCTTCATCGTTCGTATTTAACGTGGACACTAAAATGAGATACATCCAAAATGTAAGACTTTCGATCAAAATCAGTCGTAAAACCAGTGAGAGCTTACCACTGAATAAATAGGATGACTCTAGGGCAACTTTTTCTAAACAAATTGGTCCAGCTGTTAGATTCTGAATTTGTGCTTCAAGATATACCTCGTCGGACTGCAGAAAAGAAACATCATTTTGAGAATAATAATTCATACAATAAGAACATTTGTACATAATAATATTGGTACAACTCAATGCATAAATACCTCAGCGTTATAAAATTTGGTTTTCACATCTAGTGGCTTGACCACTTGAAACTTGAAATATTTTCTAAATGATAGTGGAGGCCCAATTTGATTTGCACAGGTATAAGATACTTCACAAACTAATCTGAAAAATGAGGTAAAAATGAGATTATTTTCTATTTATATGTAAGAATATAGTTTTATAGACACTTTTAAGATGCTTACATATGTGTACCTATCTCCTTCACCTCATGATGAATTACTTCATCTACTGTACTGTCAGGTACTAATTCTTTTCCTTCTAAATTATTACCAGAAAGAGAAATTATCTGCGTACTTGTCTGTAGATCTGCCTGTGGAATTTATAAGTGATATTTGACAATATTAACAAATATATTATGCAAATGGATATAGAATAAGAAAATTATTATTTTGAGATACAACACACAGTTGAAACTCACTTTTACAGTAACATTTTTTACAACTTGATTGCTACCATTATGTACACATAGATAACTGGAAAATATTTCTCCTAAATATATGTTTCTGAAATGATATATATATATATATATATATATATATATATATATATATATACACATATATAAATATCACTTATACAATGCTGCAAAAAATAATTGTAATTTCTCACAGAAAAGTATACAGAGAGAAATACCAGTAGAAACATACCCAAAACTCTGAGGTAGTACCATAAATTGTCCTATAGCAAGTGCTTCCATACCTTGCAAAGCTGTACAATCATTCTTGAGTTCATTGTTCAATGTATTACCTGGTAAGTCTGTTGAATCACATGTAACGACTACAGGACTTGCCAGAGTTGGTCTTGTCAATCTCATTACTGTAAAAAGTAATTTATATGCAACTTTTATAGAGATATATTTCATTATGTTTTTATTTTAGTGTTGTATCAATGTAATTACGCAATTAATACTTTAAATATTGTATTAATAATTTTAATGTTATAATCTAAAATCTGAAGATAATATAAATTTTATTGCTTCCTGATATATTACCTTTCAAAGCAAGCAAATGTTCACTCTTCGCCTTAACTTCCATTTTTCAAATAAATTGTGGAAACGGTAAATCAAAACATCTAAAATCCTTGCAATATCTAAATAAAGTTTTGCAACAAGCACCTGTCACTTTAGGAACCTAACCTCGTTATCTTACATCAGACTTAGGTTGTGTTCCAAAATTATTGGCTGCGTTCAGAAAACATAGCTGATCAGTGAGCGGTCAGTGATTATTGGTCCTTACTGTTAGATCTCTAACTTTAGACCAATTATATTGACGAATTGCTCAACTGTTACGCAACTGTTGAGTTCGTTGAACGCACCTACTGCCAGCGCCGACCAAGGATGGGTAATATCAGAGAGAAGCCTGAGAGCGGCTACGCTATATGTTTTGGAAGACACCGATTTTTACGTTGGTGCGATGCGCCATCTGCACCCATTTTTCAGGTGGAACTACATTCCCTACGCCCATTTTCAGATGATGCCGGTAAAGCAGCGATTCAGTACGTGTCTATTCTATGCGCATTTCCTGGCGATTCGTGTCCGTGCTAAGCGCATAATTGCGTAGTTAAGAACGTGGATCATTGCGTACGAACTTATATTTCATTCAACATGCACGTGATCTTTTCTCTTTACGCACTGTCATAAATTTATTTACGTGTATATGCATACGAAATATCATATGTATGTGTATGAGCGAGAACCTGACCGCGAAAAACACGCCCACTTCAATGCTTTACATAACGCAACGACATTAATCGCATTATTATAAAACATTAATTCCAACAGTTGTTGTCATACAGTTGTAGTATATCGACGATCGCTATTTCGGCACTCCCGATACTTATTTCCGCGCCAGGCTCACTTTCGATAGACAACAGATATGTATAGAACGCGGAGCGATGTCGATCGCGATGTGTCACGGAAACGCGGAAGACAAAATCTTACTAGATTGTCGCGTTCCGCGAATTGAATCATTTTTTCCCGTACGTTTAAAAAACGGAAAAGCGGAAGACCCAAAACTTTTCTCTGGTTACGTTCCGAAATTCACTGAAAGTACTGAAATTCTATAGTATACGTAACATGAACTATAGATTTTCAGTACTGGCAGTGAATTTCGGAACGCAGCCTCTATTGTCTTTTCATCCAAGGTACCAAGGTATGAATTCAAAAAAAATATTAGGTCCGAACATGTTTGAACACGTCTTGATATAACGGCGGTTAGGTCGAACAACTTGTGACAACTTGAGACAATAGATTTTGATGCGCTTGTTCCGCGACTTTATTTCTTCTTATATTACATGGAGCACAATTTACGCGGAAAAACGGAACGGTTTGATGACAAATAACCATCTGTATTCATTTTTTAAAATTGTATTCACTTAATTTACTGCAATTTTTATTAATATGTTTATCTTTTCAGCTTATCTGTTGAATACAAACATTTTAATTAATAAATACTGTTAAAAATTAATATTTTATAATATTTTATAAAAGAAAACAAAAAATATTGGTGGCATACGAGCACTTGACCGCGACGTCCAGACGTAAGCGCGCTTCTCTCGCTTTATCTAAAGCAGTGGTATTTTTCGTAATATTACAGACCACTAATTCCAATAGAGTAAAGTAAAGGGAAATAATTTCTTTTTAAACGAAATCGATATCTTTTGTAGTTGCCGAAAAAAAGCAAAAATGCTGGCGGCATATGAGCACTCGACCGCGACGTTCAGACGTACGCTCGCTTCCACGCTTTACTTAAAGAGCAGTGATATTATTCGTAATATTACAAACCATTAATACTAATAGAGTGATGTGAGGAAAATTCAGTGCTTTTTGAACGAAATCGATATTTTTTGTAGCTGCCGAAAAAAAGCAGAAAATATTGGCGGCATATAAGCACTTGACCGCGACGTCGTGTTTAGGCTTTTACATGCCGCTAGCATATATTGCTTAATTTCGGCAAATACAAAAGATATCGATTTCATTAAAAAAAGCACTGACTTCTCATTTTGGTGTATTGGGATTAGTGGTTTATAATATTACGAAAAATACAACTGCTTTAGGTAAAGTGTGGAAGGGCGCGTTCGTCTCGATGTACGTCGCGGTGAGCCTCTTACATGTCGCTGGCATTTTTGCTTCCTTTCGCCAACTACAACAGTTATCGATTTCGTTCATAAAGCACTGACTTTTCTGCACTTCATTCTATTGGAAGTAGTGGTTTATGTTACAAAAAATATCACTGCTTTAAGTAAAGCGTGGAAACGTGCGTACGTCTCGACCTCGCGGTCAAGTGCTTATATGCCGCCAGTATTTTTTGCTTTCTTTCGACAACTACAAACGATATCGATTTCGTTCAAAAAGAACTGACTTTTCCTGACTTTACTCTAGTGCAATTAGTGATTTATCATATTACGAACTATCATAATACCACTGCTTCAAGTGAAGCGTGGAAGCGCGCATATGTCAGACGTCGCGGTCAAGTGCTTGTACGCCACCAATATTGTTTGCTTTCTTTCGCATTTTATGCGTTCGAGCATCATTCCATCGATATAAAATTTGGTGGCCCCGAAAAGAGCCGATTTTTGTGCCGAAGAAATTGAGGTCGATAGTCAATAATCAGTCCAATATTCGGCATGTTGAAAAGTCCAAAAGATCATGTGCATGTTGAATGGAATATAAGTTCGTATGCAATGGTCCATATTCTTAACCACGTAATTATGCGCTTAGCACGAACACAAATCGCCAGGAAATGGGCGTAGAATAGACACGCACCGAATCGCTGCTTTACCGGCATCGTCTGAAAATGGGCGTAGGGAACGTAGTTCCACCTGAAAAATGGGTGCAGATGACATATCGCACCAGCGTGAAAATCGGTGTCGCCCAAAACATATGTCGTAGCCGCTCTCAGGCTTCTCTCTGGTAATATATGCGCTAGAGACCTTAGATATAGGCTGCTTTCGGGGAGACGCTATTTAGCGCTATGAGCATCCTCTGTCTTTGTTCAACTTTCGGGAACAAACAAGGATAGAGCACACTCATAGCGCTAAATAGCGTCTCCTCGAACGCAGCCATAAGGTGCGTTCGGGGAGCTCGTTATTAGGGAGTTTTTGCAATTCCGTATTTTAGATACGGTAAACGCTGAAGTCACGTGACTTCATACTGTATTCCGTTTTTAGGTCGTCTACTTCAAAAGGGTTTTTGTACGGTGAATGCTACGGTAACGTAAGATAAAACAGTATCCTACACGATCTGCAATCGTTTTCCATTTTTCACTTTCTTCATATTTAGGATATAATCTTCCTTAAAAGTATGAGATCATCATGACTTGTGAATTTCAATCGTTCAGATTTCATTTTGGTAGCCATAACGTCGACGTTACTCATGAACGCTATTTTTCAGAAATAACGTTCGCACGTTATCTGAATAGCGTTAAGGTGACCGATGCGCATACGTAGTTGACTCGATAACATCATTTTAGCGTTTACTGTATCTATACTGTATGTTTGCAAAAACTCTTTATTAGCGCTATTCAGCGCTACCGTATCATTCTATCCTTGTTGTTTATCTAATGGCTCCTGCACACAGGACGCGGTAATGCTTACCGCGCGGCGAAAGTCCACGCGATAGCCAATCAATATGTTGTTTTTCCGTAAGAGCTAGAAGGTTATTACGGAAAGCAGCATATTGATTGGCTGTCGCGCGAACTTCCGCCGCGCGGCAAGCATTACCGTGTCCTGTGTGCAGGAGCCATTACTTTTTAAAATTTGTAACGAGTACCGTAACGAGTTTCATTTTAGAAAAAATAACGGTAACGATAACGAGTTACTTTTATAAAATAACGTTACTAACCCTGGCTAGATATATATATTGATTTTCATTTTGCATATTTTGTTATTGGTTGCGTTTATTTGGTTAAGAAAACGTAGCTGATCAGTGAGCGGTCAGTGATTATTGATCCTTACTGTTAGATCCCTAACTTTAGACCAATTACGTTGACTAATTACTCAACCGTTGTGCAACAGTTGTGTTTTCTGAACGCACCCATTGATACAAGTACACATAAAAACAAAAGTTGTTCAATAATACGAGAAAGCAATACAGTTTCCGTTGTTCCCGACCGACTGTGCATTACCTTAAGCCGATATCTCTTTCAAAAGAAGTTATTGGGAGGAAGCGGTATGGGGCCACTAGCCGAGATCGAGGGACTTATTTCTTAAAATGAAATTAATGGACTATGTTGTAATATCTAATTATAATCACATATCCGTTACTTTGTAACGCATAATTTTCGTCATCTGTGTCAAGGTATTGCTCGTTCATCTTATCAGCACGTACGAAAATAACCTCTCTTTATGGCATTCTAAATTTTGGGAATCGAGCCAGCGAGCAATGTATTTGCTAATTGCGCTCGATATAATTATCGCTTTGTATTCGTATGTTATGTAACTATTACGGTTTTGAGTTATATGTGATACTGTTATTTCAAGCTGTTCGAACGTGATTCACCGTGTGTACACTACGTGCCCTAAGTGTCCCTCAACACATGTATACATCCTTTGAGTTGACTGTTTCATACGATTTTCAGTGTACCATAGACATACAACAATGTTCGATCAAAGGGTGATAGCGATTTGCTTCCTCGTGTGCTTTGCAATAGTATTTAATTTTTCTCTCCATCGTATCGAGGAAGGCCATGTTGGGGTGTACTTCAGGGTGAGTTTTGTCAATTTTTTTACTATATCCTATTATATCTACGAAACACGTCATTCTCTAACTGCCGCTTTATGAATTTCTGTCAGGGTGGTGCACTGTTACCTCAAGTGAGCAATCCAGGTTTTCATATGATGATACCATTATTGACCACTTATCGTTCGGTTCAAGTAACTCTGCAGACAGATGAGGTGAAGAATGTGCCATGTGGAACCAGTGGTGGTGTAATGATCTATTTCGATCGTATAGAGGTTGTGAATATATTGGATGCAAATAGTGGTGAGCTTCTCTGGGCAATCTAGTTCCTTTGTTCTTCAAGAAACTGTTTGTGTGTATCTCCAAGTGTTAATATATGCTTATTTTTGCAGTCTACAATATGGTGAGGAACTTCACTGCAGATTATGACCGTACGTTAATCTTCAACAAAGTTCATCATGAATTGAATCAATTTTGTTCGGTGCACACACTGCACGAAGTATATATTGATCTGTTTGATCAAATCGATGAGAACCTTAAAACTGCACTTCAAAGGGACTTGAATGAATTAGCACCTGGTCTTAACATACAAGCTGTCAGAGTGACGAAACCAAAGATTCCTGAAACCATCAGAAAAAATTATGAACTAATGTAAATAATTATATTTTATTAATTATTTAAATTTTTTCTTCTAATTAAAATTTTTACATGTTTCTAATATTTTGCATTAAAAGAAAGTTTTAGTTTAGATAGTTGAGAAACAGGAGGTCTTCATAAATTTTTTTCAAAGAAGTGAATAAGGATATTAAAATATAGAGTTTCAATTATTTTTTTTTAATTATTTATCATTGTTTTAAGTATAAAATATTTTTCATTTAAAGAAGATTAAAATTTTATCGTCCAGGTTTTTTGTGCTGAACATGGTGTCACCAGATGTCTCCAACTGGTGAACAACGTTACAACTTACATAATAATCTGAAACAAATGGGAAAAGCAAATTCAAAAATTATTAAATTTGCTGGAGAATGAACTTTTGTTATGTACAGAAAGCCGAAATTTAACAAAATGGCAGCACTATGAAATTACAAGTTATTTTTTTCTTCTCTTTTTCTGTTTATCTCTTTTCTTTTTATATTTCTAAAAAAATACTAATTTTGAAAATTTTCTAAAAGATTTAGATTCATTCATTCTCTCTCCAGCAAATTTAATACAGTTTAAATTTATATTTTATAATTTAATTTAAATTTATAATTTAATTTAAATTTATAATTTAATTTAAATTTATAATTTAATTTAAATTTATAATTGTATATTTTTTTTATCTGTTTCAAATTATTACGCGAGTTCTAATGTTGTTCACCAATCAGAGTCGTCCGAGTACATCGCGCTCAATAAAAAGATCTGAACGAAATTTTAATCTTTTTCTAAATTTTTTTTACTTAAAACAGTGATAAATATATATGATTAAAAACTTGTTATTAATATCTTTATTTATTTATTTGAATATCTATTAATATCTATTTATTTTATTTATTTATTTATTTATTTATTTGAAAAAAATTTGTGAAAATCTCTTATTTTCGAACTATTTAAATCAGAATCTTCTCTCGACTTATCTCATATTTCATATCTCTTAGGGAAGGAGAGAAGACGAAACTGTTAATATCTACGCAACATCAGAAAGTAGTAGAGAAGGATGCCGAAACCGATCGCAAGAAAGCAGTCATCGAAGCAGAAAAGGAAGCGCAAGTTGCGAAGATTCAGTACAATCAAAAGATCATGGAGAAAGAGTCATTGCAGCAAATGGCGGCGATAGAGGACGAAATGCATTTAGCAAGACAGAAGAGCCGTTCGGACGCTGAGTTCTACCAAATGAAGATGCAGGCTGAAGCGAACAAGTTACTTCTGTCTAAGGAATTTCTAGAGCTGAAGAAGTATGAGTCGCTGGCACATAACGCGAAGGTATATTACGGGCAAGACATTCCAAAGATGTTTGCGTATGGAGGTTGCGCGCTCGATCCCAGTCTCGGTACTGGCGCCAGTACTAGCACAAGGAGTGTCGAGGATAAATCATAAGTAACGAACAATTCGAACCTCATTTCCATGATTATTAATACACGGAATGAAATGATTGATTTTCTTTTGTCAAGCCAGTACTCTTAGGATACGCGAGTGCGAAGCTTTGAACAGTTTACAATTCACAGTGATATACGACCTTCGATAAGGTGAATGTGCAACCTTAGGTTTCTGGAGTGTTGCCTGTTCCTCCGAATTAACTGTTACGTGTGTAATTAAAATCTTTTTTTGTATACATATACTTATTTATTAAATCTATACAAAATGGATACATCGCAAATACAGTACTTGTAAGAATTGTTTCTTTTTTGTTTATTATTATTATTATGCAGTATAATTACAGAATAACAATTTTCTCACGATATAAAACAGTATATCATTACGTGACAATATGAATAATAATCATATCGACATAAGTAATAACAATTGTAACTTGTAAGAAGAAATATCTCGTTCGTCGTAATATATGTCATTTGATCTTTCTGCGATTTTCTTTCGCTCTACGCGCATAGACTTTCGGTTCTTCCGGTGGTAAGGACTTCACGTCGTCTATGTTCTGATTTAGCGTTCGTAATTCTTCCAGCGCTCGCTTAGCCAATTTCCCCTCCGGAGTAGTTGCAGGCTCCAAAAGCAGCATAGTCAGGGCTTTCTTTAGAAGATCTCTGGCCTCTTGTAGTTGATGCGCCAACTGTGCGGACGAGATCTCGCGAGCAGAATAAGATCGATTCGCCAGTATTATTATAGGCAAATGCATTTCATATAACATTATTCCTGAAAAATTGGTATTCGCGATAATTACATAATCATACATGACTTAATATCTGTAAGACATCGTTATAATATTACTGAAATGTTTCTGATATTTTCCACATGTTTCTATTCTACGTGTGAAATAATTGAACAAGCTTATTGTACAACACATGTATAATTATAACGAAATGCACCATCAATCGTGCGCTCGCACCTTTCAAACGTGATATACCCGGCTCTACTATGTCCAATACGCTATAGACTTCCTTGCACGTGCCCAACATCTTTTGTATGATTTTCTTCTGAGGATTTGGAGATGTCATTTCTTTCCTGTATGCCGCCAATAACTTCTGCTTCAAGGATAGCATCAGGAAGTGATTGATGTGTAATGATCGTGATAATTTTCGAAGCAAACCATCTAGACTCTGCAAATTACCAGGTCATTGCAAAGATTATGAGAGAAAGGATCACAAGAGAATCACAAATGTTTTAAATTTCAATCATCGCGAACTTTTATATCGGTATCCTCGCATTCTTCGATGAGCGTTCTGCAGATATTCAGCGTGGCTCTGATGAGACGACCGCCGTAGGTCCTCTTGCACATCTGACACTGCCACCGACTTTCCCGTTCATACGGATCGACGATGGAAGTGTCTTGTATCCCGACGAATCCTTTTTTGCAGCGTGGGCACAGCACGCTACTCAAATGCGACTGCAACTCGTAGGGATCCTTACACAAAGAGCATTCGCACTCAAAGTACTTTCCTTCACGAAGATGCTCTCTTCTGTCGGCTGTGCCCTGATGAAGATATAAGAACGTGAATATTGTTTTAAAGAGAAATAATTTTTTAAATTTAAAGCTTATTCAGTACATTATCAGCACAGTGGCAAATAGTTCCTTCTCATACATAAGCCAGGAAAGTAGAAGAAACGTATCTCTCTCAACAATTAAATTTTATAGTTTGCACAATTGACTGACCAGCAGTGACGAAGTGTAATTGAAAAGAATAGACTCATTTTCCTTGATTGTTACGCTCGCATAAACGCTCAGCTGGAAATCATTGTCCACGGTGAGATGAGTGTTGCCTCTGCAATCGTGAGCCATCAAAGCTGCTTCAACATATAAACCTCGAAGAAGAAGACCGTCAAGAACGCCAGGTGATCGCAACTCGAAGGTATTCACGTCTAAAATGCCGCACAATTTCTGCATTAATTCCGCACTGGGTGGCTCGATTTCATCAGGTACGCGAAGCATTTGAATCACCTATACATATATATATATCGTTACTGTATTGATTGGTGTAGTTAAATAAGAATAATTAAATATTTCCGACGGTTTGAAGAAGAAAAGAGAAGAAACGACTCGAAAGAGCAAATATGACAATAATAGAAGAAATATTTTCTTTGAGATCATTTTTGTTCAAATCTTAAGATAACATCATCAAAGTGATTGATTTTTTGAAAACCATTGACTGTTTTCATTTGTAAAATAGTTACATATTTACAAAGTATATTGACTGGATTATCCTATTTATATAAAGATCTAAGCAAGAACATATACAATATATAGGATTAACGTCGAACGTTTAATAATTTGATTAAAGGGAAGCTCACATTTACTACATTGACTTCTCTGTCCTCCCAAACCGGCGTGTTCATTCTTTTGTCCAGATGAGCCTCCATGTTGTTTACTTGTGACCATACAGTCGGATTTCTGCATTTTATCAGCCACAATCGCAAAACCAACAAAATTCCTGTTACGTCGATTCCTTTCCCCGCCAGCAAGTCTCGATTCTCCCGAAGTATCCAGCATTCATCACTCGTGTGATGGATCGTCCGTGTCTTTACAGATAGTAAAAAAACACGCTATTTCAAATACTAAAACAATATATACGCGCGCGCCATATAGCTAATAAAAAACAATAAAAAACGTAAAATAAAAGTAAAATCAAAATTAAATTAAATTAAAATATACTTTAATTAATTAATAATTATAGGAAGAGCCAGGGAGAGACAGGGAAAAACAGGGAGAGACGGGGAGAGACGGGGAGAGACGGGGAGAGACAGGAGAGACGGGGAGAGACAGGGAGAGGCAGGGAGAGACAGGGAGAAACGGGGAGAGACAGGGAGAGACAGATTCAAAAAAATCATCACAAAATAACACGTGAAAAATATAAATGCAATATTATTAAAAATGTCCAACAATGCATGAAGTCAACTAAATGTTAATTTAATGTTTCTTGCTTACTGGGATCGATATATAATGTTATTCTAACATACTACCTCGCACGCTACGCTGCACAACGGTGCGACGTTGCATCTGGAGCAAGTATATTGTTTCCCTTCGCCGATCCTCGATAACGAACGCAGGCATGCAAAACACAAACAATCTTTCTTATACGTCATCGGGCCGACCGCAATCGGTTGCTCCCGAATAATAACTTCTCCTGCCGCTATATTTTTAGCTGCTACAAGGCACCTTGTGAACAAAAATTATAAGTGCAGCATCTTAAATAGCACAGAACTCCACAGGATCTTCTAAAGATATTCTGAGAACGTCTCTACGTCCTGAGAACGTTCTCAGAACATCCAATGGAGAGTTGCCTCGAGTGCCTGTAAAATGTAATGAGTACCTATAAAAAATGTAATATATTTTATATAATATGTAAATATCCTGTTTAAAAAATCCGCTAAGAAAAAAAATCAATATATACAAATTTTATAGAAATATTATATGACTTTTATCTGAACTTAACATTTCTAATGGAAATTTCAATTTTTTACCTTTTAACTTAAAAAATCAATTTCTTTCTTTTTACATCGAAAAAGAACTTACTTTTAACGATTAAATATTTATTCGAGAGAATACAAATACTTTCTTATACAATTTTATTATTTTCTATCAAAAGCACAGTTCAGTTGCAAATATTCTTATCTATTAAGATTATCTATTAAGATTTTTATTATCTATTTTATCAAATTTTTGGATAGAATTTTTTTATATATGATTAGATATAAGAGATAATAGATATCTATGGGTGCTTTCCAGCTATGTTACACTGTGTTACACAAAACCAGTTGTGCTGTCTGGGATAAGCTGTAAATTGTGCAGTGATAGATACGCGCTCACTCCTCAAATAGCGAAATCGCATCTATTTTGATCGAAGAAGCGCTAAATTTATTTTTAATGATATATAACATCTCTTCCGCGCTGTCTTTTTCTATTGAAACTTCTGCGTTAAAATTCGCCAAAGTTGCAGCTAGCAGTCGATTATTCAGCAGACAAAGAGCGTATAATCAGTGAAATATTGTCGCGTAAATTACACGAATTTCAATCATGCGATATAATGTGGTATAACTGATACATAAATCACATACTGAGTGGCGTGCTTAATTACATGGTAGCCGTTACCTGCCAAGTTTTCTCGAATATGCAACTTTATACTTCGGGGTGGGCGCCATAATTTGTCTAAATTATTTCCTTCAAGTTTGCGATTGTCGACCCGTAACTGGCATGGGGAAGCGGACGCCCGTAATACGAACCGTCTTCCTTCGGTACACATGCGACGCACTGTATTATTAGACACCCGTGAATCGTGCGCACTCCGCGATACAACGCGATGCACGCAGTTACAAAATCACGACGCGATCGAGTCGCTGTCAAACACGAGATATATTTTCTCCCGCGCGGCGACAGTGGATTTAACCGATTGCTTTATAATCGCATTATTACCGCGCGATGTTACTGTAATTTGGGAGTGAATATTTGCCGCACAATTTTTTCTCGATCGACGCTTCACAAGGTCGTATCGTCCAATCGGCGAAGAGTCGCAGAGTTCCATACTGATGTCACCAAATTTGATTTGCATCTCTCGATAATCAGGAAGACATGCAGAGGTGAGCGTTTATTAGCAAACAGGTTTGTACAAATACGAGTATATTTACAAGAAACACTTATAAATTATTTATGGACTGTTCCAGCTGGAGCAGAGACTCTTGCGCAACGAGTCCTATTTGTCCCTCAACTGTCTCCAGTGATTCCAATATTAATATCATAGCCGCCTCTTTTAGGACATTCGCGGCTTCCGTCATTTTGGACTTTAGACTGGCTTCGCTGATGACGCCAGCATTCCAGTGGCTTTTGGCTAAGAAGAGTAACGGCGCGTGCAGCTCGTATAGCGTCATACCTGCCAAAAAGATAAAGCAATAAATTATGTACGCACACCTTTCCACGACAGTGTGCGGAGAAACGCGTCTAAACCTCTGCCTGTACCTCTTACACGAGTGTATCCGGGTTCTACCACGTCCAATACTTGAAGCAACAAATGGCATATGTCGATTTTGTGCTCTAACACAACGTCCGGCAGATCGTCCAATAAGTATTCGTCAACTCGACCGTACATTTGGCTCAACGAGTGCCTATAAAAAATGCAATATATTTTATATAATATATTTTATATAATTTATTTTATATAATATGTAATATATCTTTCTTAAAAAATTCGCTAAGAAAATCAATAGAAATATTTGCAAATTTTATAGAAATATTATATGTATAATATTTATTACTATTTAGCTATTGCCAAGAAGAGAACTTGGTTTACATTTTATAAATCTTATCACCATCCACACATCCATACATTGATCCACTCCTTATATACTACGCCTTTTCCTATTCCCTCTTCCTCGTTTAAACTTACTCTTATCCTACTATCCTACTATCACATTACTAGAAATATTATATGATTTTTATCTGAACTTATCATTTCTATTAGAAATTTCAATTTTTCACCTTTTAACTTACATAAAAAAGTTCAATTCTTTCATTCTTTTATCAATTTCTTTCTTTTTATACAAAAAAAGAACTTACTTTTAACAATTAAATATTTATCCGAGAGAATACAAATATTTTTTTATATAATTTTATTATTTTTTACCAAAAGCACGGTTCAGTTACGTAGATTTTTCTTATCTAATTCTATCAAATCTTTGGGTAGAATTTTTTGATACAATTAAATGTAAGAGATAATGGATATCTATATATTATCTATATTCATTATTTGTTATATCTAAATAAATAAACTCGCAAAAAAAATAATTTTCGATTATTCTTTGTAAAACATTATTTCCTTGATTAAGTAAAAAATTATTGATTAGTTCAAAATTATTCCTTAACCAAGTAATTTTGTTTATGATTTTCTATTAAAGTTCTGGAAGCATTTGTATTGCAGAATTTTGTTACAGAAGATGGCAGGAAATCGAGCTAAAGTCTTTGTTTACTGTAATATATTATCCTTTATGTAATCTCCCGATGTCCAATTCCTTAGTTGTATAATCATACCTCAGCATCGTGAGAAAAGCGTGGCGAGGATGCAGAACTGATTGATACTTCTTCATAACGGTTTCTCTTACGTAAATCGCGTCGGCTCCATCAGCTCCGCTGATGGCCTCAGCGTTATCTACCTCCGCTTGAATGATCCGGAGAACTTTTCGCACCGCTTGCCCGTTGGTGGAGAACTCGCAATTCGTACACTTCCACGAACTTGCCGGATCTAAAAACCGTACAGATATATAACTGAATATTGAGTATTTCACACAAATTCTGTGCAATAAATATTTTTAGGATAAATATGGGCCCGTATATATATGGGATATTATATCCCATATAGCATTAATGTATTAAATCTTACAAATATCCCAGAGATGCTGAATATCTGTGAGATCTCTCTATAAAATATATTTGTGAATGTAGACTTAAGGTGAAATGTCCTAATTAGTGATTGTATCTCCTAATCGCATCCGTTTTTCTTAATAAATCAATTAATACTTATATTTATCATAAACATATGTTTTTATTCTTAATCTTATATATTATTAGCTGTAAGTTTCGAATAAAATTAATAAATTAATAATTAGAAATCGTAGTAAATGCTGGAACATCATAATTTTATAAACGTATTGCTAACGATGACAATTTAAACAGTTACTCACCGACATTTTAGAAGTTGACAATTAATACCACATGTCTATTTATTGGATCTATAATAGTTATTCTTTAACTTTAAACTATTGAAGTTGTGTCAAAGTTGAGAGAAGATTTTATAAGCAAAGAAAGTAACAAAATATGTAATTTTCGTAGTTAATTCATGTAAGTCATTAATCAGTACTGGGGTATTTATTTTTATTTATTTGTCCCCATCAATAACAATCTGAATAAATACATGATGTAAAAATGATAAACGTTTCTATTTTTAAAAAGAATATATGGTTTATTAATTTTATTTATAGAGTATTAAGAAATAGCATTTATATCATAATGCTATTTCTTGCCTCTCCGTAATTTATTAAATAATACAAATATGAGTCAGTTTATAAATTGCCATGTTTAAGTAATTAATGACGCATTTATGTAATTCTGTACTGATTTGTGATATTTAAATAATGATTACTATTATTATTTTTTATTAATAATTTTATATATTTCTTTATTTTGAGTATAATTGATTTAAGATTGATTACGATGAGAGGTTACGTAATCATTTAGATATTTGCCTTATATCAGTAAGTGTAACATCAACCACTTTTAAGAAAATATAAATTAAGTAAAATCTTTCCATATATTAGAAAAATATAATACAAAACTCCTAGTATTTAAACTATCTAAAGTAGTCTATCTACAATAAAGATTTGAGCTTTAAGTTGTAAGAAATTAACCAACCGTGGTTGAATACTCTTGTAAAAATCTAGATTATGGTTGTCAATTTCTTAAAAATTAAAGCTTAAATTTTTCATTTTTTATAGACTACGCTTGACAAAATCAATTTTTTAACCTAGTTTAACATATGCATTAATAATTAATTTATTTTTACGTATAATGAGGTTGCTTAGTCAATTGGAGCATTCATTTCACACAGGAAGTAACAGCAATTAATCATTAATAGAAACTAAAATGGAAATCGATATATCATCGTACCTAAGGAATCCAACGGCAGGACGACCCCGTTATCGCATTTATTGCACCTGAGCGAGGACATGTGGGTGCCCAATTCCGTGGGATCCGAACATCGCGGGCAAGCGCAGGCAAAGTGCTTGCCCTCCTGCAGGTGTTCCCGGCGCAGCATCGTCGGCAGTAACGAGTGCGTGTAACTCGCGTAAAGTTCACCGCCCGCTGGGACTTTGAGCGTGGTACGCAGTCGTATCCTACGGGTGCAAAACCGTGTAATTATGCCATTCTTACGAGCACGTCCTCATCAGCATAATGAACGACGTGAGATTTCCCGAGGATGCGGGCATTAATTGAGGAAGGAGTGCTGCGCTTGAGTGTGAGTAAATGAAGACGGTATAAGATATCGCAGACTCGGTGCAGACTTCTTTTCGCTTGGCGCAGTTAATATCGTGTCTGAAGATCGAGATTGACATTATGGGCTTTCTACAATAAGCGGTTAGTCGTAACATATAATGCATAATACATAAAGCATAAGAAAATTCACCAATCAGAATTCTTTATTTCTATTCTGAGAGACAGCAATTGATGAATTTTCTTATGCCTTATGTGTTATGCGTTATGTGTTACGACTAATGGCTTATTGTAGAAAGCCCATTAATCTCGGCGAGTTAAATTTCCGATGCGGAAGAGAAGTCTCTGAGTGTCATATTTGTCGCATTCCTATTTTCGTGATTAAAAGTACACAGAGAAAATATTGTGGTAAAAATTATGTTAAGATTACATTTCATCTTGCGATGTTTTTTATTAAGTTGTACTATTACATTGTATTAACACACATATTGTAGTATAAATTACTAAAAAAATAATTTTGATAATCTGCCTGAATGTATGATATAAAGAATATTCAAATAATTGCAATAATTTTGTAATGGAAAATCCAAACGTGCATAACATTTTTAAACAAATATACATGATACAGGATACAAATACACGTCAAACGTGCATAACATTTTTAAACAAACATACAGAATATCTAAAAAACATTTGACTAAACGTTAATATTATATTCTAAAAATAAAAATAAATAAAATAATGTTTAATAAACATGAATCTAAAAATCAATCATTAACAAGTCACACTAATTTAAATTTGTGAACACGTAATCTAACTCACGTAAAATTACAGGAACTGTTCAAAGTTTAAAGTAGTTATCTTCAACAACAATATACATGCTTCAGTATGCCTTCTTAGAAATTGCCAAACTCGATTGAAAATAATAGGAGAATACCATATGATATCATTCATGATAATTTACAATATGTTCCCGAAGTTTATCAATATTTTAGATAGATCTTGCATAAACTAAAGTTTTAAAATGATGAAAATTAATGGGATATCTAGTGGACAGGTATAACGATAATCTTAAATATTCTAAAACTGATATAACTCGTTAATGATTGGTTTTCTCTCAGACCCATTATTTTATTAAATTTTTTGTTTCTTTCATTTCTAGAATATAGCATTAATGTTTGGCCGAATGTTTTTGGGACACTCTCTACAGTTTGTACATTTCATTCATAATTTCTATATGTTCTACTTAAATAATTTAATAAAATTACACAAGAAAAATTTGTAACTTCTGTAATGTAACTGAATCATGTTTTTGATAAAAAATGATAAAATTACATAAAAAGGCATGATCATTCAGACAAATATTTAATAATTTAATTTTATTCGTTTAACTGTGCAATTTTTTTTTAATTGTTTAATATAATATTTAATCCTTAAAAGTAAGTTACACACGTGCGATATAAATTGAAAAAAATTAATAATCTTCTTATATAAGCTGAAATGTAAAAAATTAAAATTTCCAATAAAAATGATAAATTTAGATAAAATTATTTAATATTTCAATGAAATTTGTATACATATATCCCAAACAGCACAGATCTGCACAGAAAATTAGGTCTCAATATACCGAATATTAGGCCAATATTGTAGACACTTTGCATTTTATAGCCAATATAGAATTATGGATATTGGCAACTCATTTATTACCAATATTGATTATATATTGAGTTATATTGGCCTAGTGTACTCCCAATATATTAGGAGCCAATATTGGTGCAATATTGGCAATTTGTTCACATTTTATTTATAATATATTGACATATTATTTATATATATATATATATATATATATATATATATATATATATATATATATAT